CCTCTCTCTATGCTTGTCAGATGATACACTTTGACTGCATGTAGGATGAGTCAAGGCCTACAGATGACATTTGTTGTTATTTGGCACTCTATAAGTCAAATCACTTTAAATCAAAATTAAATGAATATACTGTCAGGTTTCCATTGTATTATAGGTTATTCTTATCATTATTTTGTGCTCTTGTACACTCTCCGTGGTGGGACATATTAACCCCAGATTCAGAGATCCAGGGTTAATCTAGTGATATAGAAACTTCAGAAACTACTTCAGTAGCTCAGATTAAAAGAAATTGAATCAGAAAAGAAAGTGAAACCTATGAGAACGCCCTTAGACTGCTGATAGATCTTTTATCTGGGACAGAAGGGGTCTGTGTCTACTGTGATATTGCCTTTGTATTTGTGGAGATTAATTTAACTGGCTAAAGAAAACCCTACATGTCACTTTATCCAGCAGATGCTCATATGCACAATCATGCGTGTTTGACAGACAAATCTTTTAACCAAGAATTTAAGAAAAGACACGCAAGGCATACACATTTAAAAATTTTGTATGCTCTGTTAGTATAATCTTTATTGAAGTTTAATTGCTGTATTTAGATTTAAAAATACAAAGTCCGGACTTATTCTCCCCATCACAGCAAGTGGAAATCATAACAACTGTGCTAAAATCGAAAGCACAAAATGAGTAAATGATGAATTGTGTAAAGATTAAACATTTCCTGTAAGATTTAATTTATCCTGCAATGATTTTATACATTAAAGTTAACACTGATTTAGTCATAAAGGAAAAATTGTGATTTTTAGCCCAAAAGCCCTTACTGACTAATCTTCTCAAGATGACACTGGCTTCTTGACATAATAAGTGCAGGCTGGCCAGAGGCAAATGTATGTCATCTTAGATCTGAATAAATAAAGAGGAAGGAGTTATTTGTATAACGTTTGTGGTGATGGTGCACTGGGTAAGCCTGATAACGGAAGCTGACAGTTAACAAAATGAAGCTGGGGATCGACCATCCTGTTCCTGACATCTACACAACATCAGACCACCTACACACTCTCCACTCAGAACTCCACATTGATAGGCTGACAATCATTCATATCGTCATATATTCACTCTCAGTAATGGTACATGCTGGATCGTGGTGATTCATGAGGCAGAACAAGACAGTCAATATGTGTATGACTATTTTCTCACCTTGAAACAATGCTTTCATTTAGATTTAGCAAACAATCTAAATTTAGATTTAGCTAAACATAGATTTAGCTAATTCGAAACAAGCTGTTTAGAATTTAATGGACGCCATGAAAAGTAAAAGCAACATGCAGAGGTAAACAATCAGGACTCTCTAATGCATTCTAAAAATGATCATTTTAATTCCTCAAACGGTTTCTATTTAGCTTAAAGCATCAGTCTGACTGGTTGACTGAAAAAGACCAGTTTGCCATGTTGTCTGAATTTTCCAGCTCTACACTGTTCGGAAGACAATCACTTTAAAGATTTTATTAAAGACCTGTTTAAAATGGCGGGTAAATGTCTTCTCGGCAAATAAATAAGTGGTGTAACAAAACATAAGACAAGTTTTCTGTGAAGTGGGTGCAAGAATCACAAGTTACCTGAAGGCTTTTCATTGAGTTTTAGCTGGAGATGAGCTTTCTTGCCTGTTGCTCTTAGCAGCAACCATCAGTGACAGTAAGCATTCTCAATTAGATTTTTTAGAAGAGCTTGGAGGCAATCACCAAACCACATCAGACCTGAATTTGGCAGATTAAATTACAGCTTCTCAGAGGCATCTGGCCCTCGTCAGGGCCAAATAAAGCACTTTCCCACTGGGTATGTATGTCTGTCACAGAAAAACTCTCAAAAAGAGAGTTTCCAATTCCAGAAATTTAGCCAAGTCAGCCCATCATAATCGCATTTGGCATAATCAGTTGGTAGGAAATCAAAAATATTTTGGGCATCTGCGTTATCTGTTCCCTTCCTTATTTTGATCCCTAAGCGGTCTTCGTTATTGCAGATTTAGGGGTGAAAAATGTCTATAGAATCAGCTATTTGTTTACCAACTTTCAGGTTAATATATATATATATTTATCTAGCAGTTTAATCACCTCCTTTCAAATTGGTTTTGTGACTAGTTGCCACATAAAGTTTTAGTGTCAAAGTGACAACCTCTCTTCAATGCCAGCTAGTATAGTCTGCGCCCCGCTGTTGGTTAAAGGAGAAAGTGGGCTGGTAGAAGTAATTAAAACAAATCTGCACACTTTGTAGGTTATATGGTGCAGGCAGGTTTTGAAAGTTGAGGTTCCTGTGCAAAATAGATTTCACTACTGCTCTGTCCACTGTATCCCCACAGGGTCCCGTTGAAATTTTTTTTTTTAAATCTATCTCCTGATTGTATTCCATGTTGAGCAGGATCACACATTCATTCAATAGTTCATTGTTGCATCTGTCATTAGGTGTGCCCATAAAAGTCTCAACCCCACCTGTTTCAGAATCTGTGCGGCCATGTGGTGGCTGCAGTCAAAGATAATTCGGAACTCCCGACTTCTCTTCATTTCTTTTAGAAGGGGCCTCGTGTCCTGTGTGTCAAGGGGAAGCTGGCGAATCTTTAGCCGAATGTTGTACCTGGACGGAGCCATTATCAGCTCCTGTAGCCTTATAAGACCTTCAATGATACGACAAAGGTAAAGATAAGTTATTCATTATGTCTGAACATCTTTTACTGACTTTTTTGTCATTAATTATTAAATTTACTAACTAATTTGCTATTATCAAAAAAATAATACCATTCTAATAACACAGTAACGTGTTCACCTGTGCTGTCATCATAAACAACAGTGGCCGTTTTCCATTTGAGAAACTGCACCAGGTCCAGGATGGCGTAGCTTAACGATGAGTAGTCTGGGTACAAATTGGCGTAAAAGGTATCCCTGTTGTCCATGGGGTGATGTTTCCACCGCACCTGAATGTGTGGCACCTCAAGAGCATTGCAGATGGACTGCACCGCGTTAGATGATGAGCTATGCGACGGCCCAAATATCGCAACCACACCTAAAGAAAGCTGGTCACAAGCTAAAGGGAAGAAACAAAGAAGAGCATGAGGAGAAAAATTAGGCACTCCCTTTTACAGTGGGCTGCATGTCTTGTCAAGACACTACATGTCATGACAAGACATTGACTTTTACCCAAAACTGAAGGGCCTGAATCAAGACAGAAAAGTTGAGATTCTGTCCTGATTAATAATATGATTAAAATTTTCAAGAAGACCAATTTACTCACCTTTTCTCGATGCCTCAAAGCTGTCATAGATATTTATCCTTTGTATGTCATATGTTAATGTTGTGTTTGGCAACAAAGTCCTGTTTCTGTTAATATTATTCACAGCGAATTTGAAGGCAAGCTCCTCCGCGCTAACAAGTGAAACAGGTCCATCTGTTTGCTCGAAAATCCCCCCTAAAAGCAAAGAGAAAAACACACATGGGGCCATGAGAAAGTAGCTCAAATACAATCACAAGCAAATGGAAGCACGTTTCTTGACAGCCACGTTTTCTGAAAGGACTAAATGCAGAAGTATATTGAGAGGTGTTTGCACTTAGGACTAGAGAAGGCAGCAGTGCACATTACATGAGGTATTAAATTTGCTCAGCAAACATGCAGAAACTCTCTCCATTTTCAGGGAATGCTGCAGAAAAAAAAAACAATATAAGCTTTGAAGTCTGAAACCATAATGGATTTAAGGAGTGCACATGTAAGCGTGTGTGTTTGTGTGTTTATGTCGGTCTGCTACATCAGGGGGGCAGAATATCTTGGGTCCTTGTGTCTCCATTAAGATGTCCTTTTATTTCAACTGAATACCATGTTTGTGGAGTATATAAGTGGACTTGGGCACTTGGACTCTTTTACATAGAATTCAAAGGAAAGTTTTCTTTCATTTTTCAGATCTCAGAACACAGCTCAAACTTACAAAACATGTTTCGTGAACATCAAAGTAAAGTATTTCCTCAGATGAGTCTATGTTAGACTGTCTGTCCAGCACCATATCCTGCACTGAAATCAGCTATAAAGTAAATTTCTTCATATAGTTTAAGGAGTTTTTTTCATGATAATCTGAATCCATCTGAATTTATTTGACTAATTCTATATCCCACCCTTAAAGAGATAATTCTGCCCTGCAAGAGTACAGCCATGATCTCTCTGCTGGTTATATCAAGCTTAGTACTGACATTCTTACCGCTACTAAAAAGACAACTTCTTTTTTTTTTTCTTTTTTTTTTTAGAAGACAACTTTTTTTTTGTTTTAGAAGACAACTTCTAAACAGGAACTTTATGGAGAGAGTGACTCCTAACCCTCCACTCCTATAATTTATTATTCTCGTAACAAATCAAAGTCTATTGGCCATATTCTAACAATCCAGAAGACAATATGTTAAATTTACAAAACATAAAAATTCTGAAATTAAGGACCATATTTCCGTTGTAGGGCTTTTTAATGAGTAAGTACAATATATTCAGCTGGGATGTTGTAAAGAAGAGCCAAATAAATTTAGCTTCTGTTACCCTCATCTTCAAGAGCATTTATTCTCATGAAAAAACTCAGCAAAATGCCTTTTATTAAGAATTAAAAATACATTTTCTGGTTTATCTCCAGTAAAAAAAATGTTTTAATACAAAAATCGACAGACAGCCCAAGTGGACACATGCAGTCTCTATGAATCAGAGGTTTGTTTTAAGGTGGCAAGAACATGTCAGAGGTTGTTTTCAAAGTGCTGTTCACTAATGGGAAAACAGATGCCAGTAAATAATCTATTTGTATAAATATGTCTGTTATAAGCGGAAAGTCTTTTTTCAGTTTTGCTCTGCGGCCTTGAAGTAATATTGAAGAATGTCTTAGTTTAAATCTTTGAAAACTCCTAAAGATAAAGTTGTTAAGCTATTGATAATCGGTTACCACTGAACACTGCTGCCTATTCGCCTCATTATGTAACAGCTTTTGGACATAAAATAATGGATAAAAAAATAGCATGAAGTACAATGCCTTTTTAGTTGGTTAACTAGCTGGTTACCTTTAGGAGTTGTGTCATTATTCTATTGTATCTTGTATCATATCGAAGTAGCTCTATAGTAAATTCACTTTATTTTCATGTCTGAATTGTATTTTGGGTTTCGTACTCCCATGGCCTATCACACAAATACTGCCTGTCAGCCCGGTATTATTCCTCTAATCCTGGAGAATACCTGGTTGCAGAGAGCTAAGCTCGGAAATAGCAGCTGTGACCTGCTGATTCCCCAGAACAGATTCCCAGTGCTTGGATCACAGAATCATATACCTCTGTTGCTGTGGGCAAAGTGGCAATTCTAAAAGCCAAGCTCATCTTACTATTTATGACTCAAAGACTCGGATTGCAACGGGACGTGATGCATAAACCTGCCCGATGGAATGCGTCACATTAAAATAAATGAATCCTTCCATTTCATGGGGAAATCTCATTAGAGTACATTAAGTAATTGCGGGAGTATATAGTAATTTGACTGTTAAGAGGATAAAATGTGTATTGCTCAGAAGCACTCTAACAAATTTAATAAACACAGGGAAACCTGCTCCTTGGGAGGAAAATCCTGCAGACAATTTGCTTTCCCCTTTTTTTCCAGAAATCTGCCATAAGCACAATAGCGAAGCTTAATGTGCAAGACCTCCTGCAACTCCATCAAATAGAGGACAAGCTGTTCCTTATAGCTTTTCAGAGAAATTTCTCTAATGATGCAGAGATTGGATGTTTACAAGTTTCCTTTTTAAACAACTACACCGAGTATTCGTTACTGCGGTGGGCGTGTGCAAAATGAGATGCATGAATTTCAGATGTGTTCCTGTGAATCACAGTCAAAAGGCTTCAAATTAGCATGTCTCAAACAGACAAGAACACAAAGCCCTTTAATTAGTCTCTACGGTCCTACCACAATATATAAATCAGCCACTAATTGCAGCCGTTTCCATAATTTGTCCTTTGAGAACTTTGTGGATCAGCTGCATTCAAAAGCCACGGACTGATATATGTGGAGAGCCGATTATTTGAATTTTAACTCTAAAATATACTTTGGTCTTTTGAAAGAAATAGTACAACATAAATGCATGATAGATTAAACAATGAAAGGCAGACTACTGATCACCTTTTATCAATCTGTTACTGCATCCATCTTCATTTCTAACTTCTTCCTCAAGTTACTGTTTTAAACTATTGGGGTATAATCTTGCATTGCCTTTAAAGTTTATGATACAATTATTTCATCCCCCAAAACAACCAAACAGCTTCTGTGACATCAAAAAATTGCACACTGTCAAAAAATGCATTAAAGAAATCCAATTTAAGCTTTTATGCTTTTTGAGTTGACAAAATGTTATCATCTAAAGTAACAAATTACACATTAATACATCTGACCGGCACTGAAACGAAAGCCTTGGGTAATGTGTGCTTTGAATTCGAATCGAGCTGAATTTTAATGGTAAACATAAGCTGTGGGTGCAGAGAGGTCTACTGGCCCCAGAGGAACTGACAGCACATGCTGTGCCCAGTCAGAATCAGAGGGTTCACATTTCAGCTCCACATGCCTTCGCAAAAATCAGTGTAGTAGCATGAAAGCCCCGCATGTTATGTACCTGCAAACAACATAGGCAAGCATTGCTGTTGTGCAGTGGCAAACTTACTGTAAGCCAGTTTAGTTGGGTTAGAAGTAAGAAGTTAGGTTCAACATAAAATGTATACTGCTTAGAAGGACTTGAAGGATGTGTTATAAGCAGCAGAATATCGGTTCACCAAAACCAAACAACTTTGAGAAATAATAATGCAATTACTGTGGTTTCATTTGAAAGTTTTATTTGTTTAACCACTTAAATGTTCTTTTTGTCTGCCCATGACAATCAACATTAGAGGCTCCATTTGAGCGTAATGCATTATCTGAATTAGTGAGAAGATGATTTTCGTCGTCCTTATGACAATTATCCAACCTCAAAACTCCAAAGTCCAATTCCTTGAACGTTTAGAAATGTCTTTATTTAAATATCAATGGCATGTTTCTGCTTTAAACAGCAACATGCCAGTTTTTAGCAAACTTACTATCTCTCCGGGTGAATGGAAAATTATGAAAAAAAGAGGTGAACCCATTTTTGCTGTCTGAATTGTTTTGTAAAAACTATCATACTATCCTACTCAAGAATTCCTTCATAAACACTGCTGCTACGAGCTCCATTTAGTGTAGCTTTTGTTTGGGCCTCTTTCAGTTTAAATGACATATATATAATATCATATATAATATAATCTGTACTGAAATTGTACTCCATTGAATGTCAATACTACTAAATAAATCGATCTTATATTTCTACTATATCATACAAAAAATATGTTTTTAGACCTAATATGTCATACAAAAGCTGCATTAATGGAAAACCAAGTGTAAATGATCCAATCATAAACCTTGACTGCACAGTGATGTTATGCAAATAAAGTGACAAAAAGAGGCATTTGCCACTGGATCCTGTTTGGCTACCACATGGTAATTTTATGCTTTTAATAGGACTTTCCTCTGGTCATAAATTCATTCAGACAAACTAAATATTGACACAGGTATGTAGATGAATAAATGGAAGGGTTTCTATATATATATCTTTTTTGTTTAACACCTTATATCATGGGATGCATAGAGCTGGTTGGAACAAATTCCTTGCTGCCAGACAAACCAATTCAGAAGCCCAACAATGAAACCAGCTCATTATGCTCTTGGATACATGTGTGCTCGCCCACAGCATTTCTGAGTGTTGCTCTTTTGTACAATCTCTTCACTGGTGGGATTCCCAATCTTCCTGTGAATAGCTTCCTGTCTCCCTGGATGTGCAACAGCACAATGACGGCGGCAAACAATGACCAATACAAAGCACACACACAAATCACTCCGAACAGTGATTCAGAAATGCAGCCAATTTCTGAAAGAATATGCTCCTTCGTAATTATGGGTAACAACACAACACTAGGGACCAAGTGTTATACAATACTGGGACCACCGGTATGGTTATCCAGCATTGTATTTTGTAACACACAAAGGAAAGAAAGAATCAGGCCAGGAATCTGTAACATTTAATCAATGATGAGTATCATGAGAGGAAATTAAGGCTGCTGGTCAATTAATGGTGTCTGGCAGAATGCTGGCTCATTAGTTAGCAAAGTCACCGCACAGGATGGTTAGGTTTGAGGTCAGCTGGAGTATATCTGCACATATTTGCCCCTAACCTCACCTCCCTGCAATGGTCTCATCTTGGGGGGTTCAAATGCATTCAGGTCAGTTGAATGCTGAGGCTCTAAGGTGCCTGTGGCTGTTAGTGTAAGCATGTAAAGTGCTTTATAGACAGAGACTAACTCATTCAGGGTGTTTTTTGTGTCTTTTTGCTCACACTTCAATCCTTCTGTAATCATTATCAACTTTGTGGAAAACAGATTAATCTATTAATGGAATTGAATAATTTCAAATAAGGGTTCAATAA